TCCTGAAACAGCGCTGCGGCACTGGCTGCCAGCGGCGGTGGCACCCGCTGCGGGAGGGAGGTAGGAGAACACGAACTATAGACCTACATCGATCCAGGCCAGGCCAATCCTGGGCAAACATTGGTGTATGAGCCACCTTCGCTCGGCCAGGAATTCATCAACACCGGTCTTGGCACCCTGGGCACACGATTGGCCTGGCCCGGATCGAAGTAGGTGTATAGGTGGCGTCCTCCGATGAGGACTGGGCGGACAAGCGCGACAACTTTGCGCCGGACTCGCGCGGCGAGCCGAACTCCGTACCTAAGACCGCGCCGCGTCCGTCACGGCGTCGAAGCAGTCCATGAGGTTGCCGATCTCTGCCTGGGACAGCACGACGCCCCCGCCTCGCCCCTCGGTGTCCGCGTCCTCGGCCTTGGCCTTGGACCACCAGCTGGACCTGCCGTCTCGCTCGTGGGCGTTGCCAGCCCTCGGGTCTGGCTCGCGAGGCTCTCGACACTGCGCTTCCAGGAGGAGGCCACTCTGGACCACGTGAATCCTCTCCCTCAGCGTGTGAAACGCGCTCGCCTGCGGCAGCAGCATCGCGAGGCCGAGCAGGCATCTGAGGAGCTCAGGATGTCTTTTGGGCTCCAGCAGCTTCAGCCTCAGGCTCGAGAAAACGGGCGACTCCAATCCGCAGCCGCTTCCACATGCGGGGGGTGCTGAGGCATGTGATGTGTTTGGCTGCTCCCCTCCCCGCGTGTTCCTTCCTCTCCGGTGGTCCGCAATCCCACGCGGAGGGGGGAGAGCAGGAGGAGGAGGAGCAGGAGTCGGAGGAGCAGGAGGAGGAGGAGCAGGAGGAGCAGGAGCAGGAGGAGCAGGAGGAGGAGGAGCAGGAGGAGGAGGAGCAGGAGGAGCAGGAGCAGGAGGAGGAGCAGGAGGAGGAGCAGTGGAGGGCGCGGGCGAGCTCCCCAACACCCCCTGTGGAGACGGCGCGCGGACGCGCTGCCGCCGGATCCGAACATCCCTGCATCCAAGGCAGCGCGGGAGGGCGCCGGCCCAGGGACGGGGAATACTTGTTTGATTCGCGGGTCGAGAGCGAGCCTCTTCCGATCGAAGCTAAGCGGGCCGCGCACAGCTTTAATTGACAGAGGAAGGGAAAAAGAAGGCGGGGCCTCACGTCAAGGCCGAGAGAGGGCAAAGTCCGGGGATCGGGCGGTGCTGAAAGCGGAGTGCATGAAAAGGAACGCCTTGCACAGGAGGGACGGGAAAGACACGTACAGCACAGCGCCAGCACGGTGCACGACAGCAGGAGGGGGGGCACTGGACGACAACCGAACTGCATGAGCATCAGCCTTCGCATGCTGTGGCGGAGTCATCCGGTCGGCGCTGGACCTCCGAGCTGGCGCGCCCCGGGGGCACCGCCAGGGGGGGCATCGCCGATATTAGGGGGAAAACAAACCTACCTCGCTTTTGACCACCCTCGCTTCCAAGAGATACCAAACGATGCCAAATTGCAGCCTGTACTGGTCAGGCCGCTTGACGAGGAGGCGTATGGTATGACTTGGTTTTGCCTGGAAGCGAAAGCGGGGTAGGTAATTCACGCTCTGAGATATGACAGTAATGTTTGTATCATGCAGTTTGTTCTTCGAGCAGCTCGAGCATGGCGCCCTGTATGCAGGAAGGGGCCACGCACCACACACGGCGAACGCCATCCAATGCACAAATGCAAATCCTGGCGGAGCCCAGTCCCAAGCCCAGAGGCTATCCACTCATGATCGGCGCTCCCCGACCACAGTCTGGTTGACGCAAGTGGAAATCCAGCTGCAAGGGGGTGGTGCAATAGATTTAATGCGACCAGTTTTTGGGCTTGCAGCAGATTTGGGTCGTGCAATACATTCTGGGGCGCCAATGTATTGCTGGACTGTTGCAAGCAAGGCGCTAGTTGCAACACACTGTAGTACAACTCTCTGGCGCAACGCAAACGCAGCACAATTCTCCACAATCCATTGCACCACCACCACCACCCCATTTCACCAGGACCCACTCTTGGGCCAACCAAACACAAGCAAAACGACACACTCATGTGTATAGATTTATGTGTATAAATATATGCATACATATATATATATATATATGCGTGTGTGAGTGATTATTTCGGCTCCTGTATCATGTACAGATAAGTGCAGGCGTGTACCCGTCACCGTGCCCTCGAGGCACGAGCTGGAATGCCCTCAAGTGCCTTCTTGGAGTTCCCGGGGAGCCTCAGCCCCCCAATCCTGAGCACCCTTCCCGGACCCGACATGGCCAACTCTTCGGGGGCGCGCCGCGTGCCTGCTGGGACCCAGAGCACCTTCTCGCGCGACCTTTTCGGGCCCACGATGGCCCCCAAGACGGGCCCAAAAAGGCCTCCAGAGGCTGCAACAGACGGTCCGAGAGGGCCCCGAGTCGCCGAAAGATCGCTCCAAGACGCTCGAGATGGCCTCAAGACGGTCCGAGATACCCCCAAGACGCCTCGAGACGCCTCCAAGAGGCCCCCCAAGAGGGCTCCAGGAGGCACGCATAATTGATCTGGCGCTCTGATGGTATTGCAGGATTTTGGCGTTCTCGTCTTTTCGGCTTCCCGACGCTCCAAGACAGCCCAAGAGGCCCCCAAGATCGTCCCAAGACGGCCCAGAAGGCCCTCACCTCAAGACAGCTCGAAAAGGGGGGCCAGATGAGGGACCCGAAAGGATATTTCGAGTCCTCGGCCCCGAGAGGCCCCCCAGGAGGCCCCAAGAGACCCGCCAAGAGGCTCCCAAGAGGCCCGAAGAGGCCCCCAGGAAGCCCTTAGAGGCCCTCAAGAGGCTCCCAAGAGGCCCCCCAGAGGCACCCAGGAGGCCCCCGAGAGCGCTCCCAAGAGACCCCAAGAAGCATCCCTGAGGACTCTGACCCACAACCTAGGTACGATGGCGGGATGGGCCGAATGCCATTACCCCTCTCTCTATATGTGTAAACCTATACACATACATACATACATACATACATACATACATACATACATACATACATACATACATACATACATACATACATACATACATACATACATACATACATGCATACATACGTACGTGCGTGCGTGCGTGCGTGCGTGGGTACGTACGTACGTACGTACATACATACATACATACACACATGCATACATACATACATACATACATACATACATACATACATTCATCAATCCATCCATCCATCCATCCATCCATCCATCCATCCATCCATCCATCCATCCGTACGTACATACATACATACATACATACATACATACATACACACACATACATACATACATACATACATGCATACATACATACACACACATACATACATACATACATACACACATACATACATACATACATACATACACATATACCAACATACTTACATGCGTACATACATACATACCTACAAGCACATACATACCTACATCTATACATATACACATACATACATACATACGTACGTACGTACATACATACATACATACATACATACATACATACATACACAAATTTACACACAAGTGCATACATACACACATACATCCATACATACATACATACATACATGTATGCACGCATACATACACACATGCATGCCTACATACACACACATATACTCAAACACATAAACACACACATACATACATACATACATACATACATACATACATACATACATACATACATACATACATACATACAAAGCTGCATTGGGGCTCGCGCCATGCGCCTTGGTCCTCGACGTCTAACATGCAGGCATAATGAGAGAGAGAAGTCGATCCATCAAAACAGCGATCGTTGTCGGTTGCAATTTTCGCCATCAACTTTTTAAGATTGCTGTTCTTCCTCCTTCCCTCCTGTGTCCTCTTCCTCTCCCTCGTTCTCGCCTTATTTGCCCCGCGAGACCCTTCCCGTCCTCCTCAGATTTGTTTGCGGATGCTCCTCCAAGGCGAGCTTCTGGAGGACCTCGCGAAAGGTTTTTACGGGCTCCTCGGGCGCCTGAAGAGACGTCCCTGGCGCCTTTTGGCAGCCTCTGGGGGAGTCCTCGGGCCACCATGCAGCGAACCGTGGTCTCGGGTCACGGTTTGCATGCTTGCAAAAGGCTTTTTGGAGCAATTTTGGGTCGTCATGGGCCCTCCGTGGGCAACTTCTGAGCCCTCTTGGGCCGTCTTGGGGCTCTCTTGGAATGTCACGAAGCATTTTTGGCTATCTTGGACGGGTTTTCGGTGCCTCACGAGCGTTCTCAGACGCCCGGAAGACCAAATTACGGAATGGCCCAACATCATGAACAAAAACGATGGACAACGTCCCCGAAGCATCGTGGGAGTGATATTTGGGCCGTCTTCGGGCGTCTGGCGGGGGTCCGGGGCCGCTGGAAGCCATCTTGGACAGTCTTGGGGGTCTCTTGGGACCGCCGCCGACCCGTTTGCACGGCTTGGCAGGGACGTCCAGAGGCTCGGAAATCTCGTGGAACCCGCTGAACCCTGAAAATCCGCGCGCAAGGCGCAACCAGGGAGACGTCCAGAGCACCCCGAGCGCAGCAGCTTTTTCAGCCGCCGCGGGAAGCCGCTGCGCAGCGCGCAAATCGAAGATACCCGAGGTACCCTGACGAGACTAGAAGAACACACAACTGCATAAACATTAAACTGCCGGAGGCCCGCGCGGATACCTTTTCAGAGGTCCGCGCGGATGTGGATCTGCGCTGCACCCCTCTCCCTGGCGCGTGGAACGCGTCGCCGATCCTCCGACTGTCGATGTTTATGCAGTTTGCTCGTCTTCCACGAAGTGAAATCCGATTCGTTTGGTGCGCGTCCCCGCTGTGCTCCAGTCGCGCCCGCCTCTGCGCCAAGCGCTGGCCCGATCGGGCTGGCAGTTGCCCCGGCGGGGCGGCGGAGGCCTGCCGGTACAGGTGCACGAGCTGGTCCAGCTGCTTCAGCAGGTCCAGCGTCGGCTCCAGAGCCGCGAAGCGCGCGGTCAGCTGGGCTGGAGGCAGGAAGGATGCTCCTGCCACTCTCTCCCTGGATGGAAGTGGACGCCCGGAGCTCTCCCTGGACTCCGGCCCTGCTGGGACCCGTGTCTCGTTCCGGGCCGTTCGTCCGATGCCGGGGCCAGGGGGTGGGCCTCCAGAGGGTCCAGAGCGTGGAACGAAATCTCGTCGCAGTATTGCTCGTGAAGCTGGATGTCTGGGGGTCCCGACGCGACTCTTCTTTAATCGGCTTGCGGGGTCCAGCTGGGTGGTTCGACGGGGATGTACGCAGGTCGGTGTGAGTCCTCACAGAGATGCCCAGATCCGTCTGGAGCAAGCCATGGGAACTCCAGCGCGAGCCGAGGGAAAGCAGAAACCGTTGAGCCCTTAACTCCCAAGGCCGCCAATTGAGATAACGGCGGCTCTCCCAGCTGGCCCACATCCGCCAAAAGCCGTGTCTCTGGGGCCCACCCGACTCCGTTGTTCAGGGCGGGTCCAGCTGCGGCGACGGCAAGCCTCCAGGAGGCCCAGAGAAGGCGAAAGACGCCATGGAATGCCGCCGTTGTCTCGAGTGGCCATTTTCCGGCTTGCCCGTCGGTTGGCTTCCGGGTCACAGCTCGGGTTTGCAACGGGCGTCAAGGATGATCCTGGGATCCCCCAAGCGCCGCTGGCGAGGCGCAACCGTATGAAAACATCCCGAGGCTGGAAAAATACCATAGACAACCAAAAACAATTAGCCAGACGAAGGACCCAACCATATGCAGCTGCGAGTGCCGCATTGCGGGTACCGCTTTCGGTGGCGTTCCCTATGGGGCCACGAAGCGAGGGGTGCGCCAACATCGGTGGCGCGGACGCATGTGGACACCGCAACTGGGGCCTTCGGCCTTCGGTGGAGCTCCCTATGGGGCCACGAAGCGCTGTCCTGGGTGGCGTTGAAGTGTGCGGACCCTGCCACTGGAGCGCTCGGTGGAGCTCCCTATAGGGCCACGTAGCGCTGTCTTGTGGAGCTCCCTGTAGGGCCATGTAGCCGCGCACCATGAGGCGTTTGTCGAGTGTGCCGCTGCATCTCTGCGAACGTGATGATGGTGATGATGAAGGCGGTGATGCTGACGACGACCATGGCGCACGCGTGCATGCATGCCCCTCGAGAAGCTCGGCCCTGAGCAAATCTCAGGGGACTGCGACGCCACGGGCAACTGCAACTCGCGAGAGACGCGCACGCGAGCGCCGCTAAGCTACCGCGCTTCAGCGACGTAGCCAATGCTCAATCATCTGGGCCACAACGTTGCAGGAGAGGTGTAGAAAACGCAAGAAAATGGAGGGCCCGCGGGCTGAAGCAGGAAGTGGCTCGCACGCTCAGGAGTGCACGGTGGCCTGCCCAACGAGGCTGCATCTGCGCGAAACATTCGTCCCAATCAAGCATGCGCGTATGCATTGTGATTTTGTGGCCGCGTTGACCTTTGCGTATATGCGAAGCTTTATCGCATCCCGCCCCAAGGCTCGCGTTTCTCTTTTTGTTCGAAAACCGATGGAGGGTCCGCGCGTGGAATCCCGGGGGCCTCTGAGCTCGAAGACCTTTCTGAGAGTCCACTTCTTGGCACCCAGAACGAGCCGTTTCTCGCTGCGCTGTCGCGCAGGGGCGGCCGCTTCTCGAGCGGCGCGCAGCGCTGGCAAAGACTGGACGCCAACGGAGACGCGTCTCCCAAGCCCGGGACATTCGGCGCCCCATCGCCGTCTCGTCGCGCCCGTCCAATGGGATTATCGCACCTGACACCTTGGCGCCCTCCTGCCTCGGAGCCTTCGCGACGCCGCGGCCCCGGGCGCTTGCGGTCTCGCCCCGACGGGCGGCCTCGGGAAATGGCGCGCTAGACCGCAGGCGTTCACTAAGGTCTACCTCGACTTCGCATTTACTCAGAATCTGCAGTCCGTTTCCGGCCACGATTCCCACCCCCGGTCTGGGCCTGCCCCTGGATCCAAACGCCGACTGCGAAACAGTGACAGCGCGGGCGCAGTCGGCGGATACTTGAAGGCGGAAGTCCCGGCCATATCTCTCGCGCCCCCCGACGAACAGGCGCGTCGAGGCGCCGCGCATGAGGGCGAGCAACAGAAGCGCCGCGGGCCCCCCCTGCGCCCAGGAACGCGCTCTTCCCGCGAGAGCTGCGCTCGCGATGTCGCCCGGCGAGACGGTCGCCAGCATGCCCCGCCGATTTCTCGCAGCCGCCCCGCGAAGAGTAGATTCGAGACCCCGCATTTCTAACCGGCCTGGGCCAGGGCACCGCGCTCCGCATAATCGCGGGCTCGGAGGGCACCTCCAGCGAAGATGGAGAGCGCGTTCGCGGGGCCCGTCTCGTCGCATTTTTCAAACAACTAAAATATCACCTCCCCTGCCCGAGAATCTTTCCGCAACGCAGACGCATGCTTCCACATGATTGCGCTGTTCAGGGGCGCGCGGGGTGGCGGTGCTGAGCGGCGGCGCCACTTGTCGACTGCCCGACATCGCGAGAAGGTCAATCGCACGCGCCCCCCGGTCGTCGCCCTGCGGCCCCCCGCGAGAAATCAGCAGGCGGCGTTTTTAAAAGTCGGCTGCGCAGTCGTGCGCCCCCTCCCCGGCAGCAGGGCAAGCATCTCCTCCGCCGCCCCGTTGCGCCTAGACCGCGCCCCCCCCGCCTTCGCGCCCAGCTTCGAACTATAACCCGAGAAACCTCGAAAGCCGATGGGCCGCAGTGGCGATGCAACCACAGCGGGAACTTCGCCCTCCTCCATCGCCCTCCTAGCGGATCGCCCCGAAAGAAAACCTGCGTCGCGGGTCGTCCGCAACGGGCCCGCGGGCGCGCAGCGCTGCCTGGGCCCTGTCGGCTGGGGCGTCGCATCCCTGAGAAGGCGCGGCGATGCCCCGGCCAGCTTTTGGGCCCGTGCGTCTTGGACGCCGTAGGCCCGCGGCGAAACCCCCGCTGGCCCACTTGCGACGAGCCCAGGGCCCGTCGCAGATCCTGCGCGGATGCCGTGCGTCATGCGTCCTCTAGCCTCGAGCCGATCGCGCTGATCGGAACATCCCGCGCGGCCGCTGGACCTTGGAATCTTTCGGCGCGAGGCAGATGCGTCCATGATCAGACGCCTTTGCCGAGGGCGCAAGCAGTGCAACTTCGCACCCGGTTCGATGGTTCAGGAGGCTCCGAGACGCCCCGACGCGACCAGCCGGGCGAAGCGCGCAACGACACTTATAATCGCACTGGCAAGCCCATCAATCGCGGATGGGAAGGATCCACGGCGCGGGGGGCGGAGAGGTCGCGAGCCTCAATGGGGGGGGCCAGGAAGTGCGGCGCGACGAAGTCCCGATAGGAGGTAGCACTGGTTTCCAACAGTGGCTTCGACATCCACCCCAATCGCTCAGGCGCCATGTGTGCGACCGTTGATTGTTTCGCAGGCGCCGCCGACGCTCGCGCTGCATCCCGCGACGTAGGCGGGGGGGGGCACAGGCGAGGAGGGCGCTCTTTGAAATCCACCTGGGCCCCGCGGATATGGCTTCTCCACTCTGTCTGAGGTCGGCTTTCATACCCTCCGCAGATATCAAGTGGATGCATGATGATTACCGGTCTTCTACGCCCCTCATGAGATATCGAGACAAACGAATATGGCCGCCGTCCGCTCCGCTGGTCTGGGAGCGTTCCGAGCACGCAGCCTCCTGGAGCCATGGGACATCCCAGTGCTCTCCCCCGTCCAGTTCTGCGTAGAATCCATTTAATTCATGCTCGATGCTTCTCACATCCCACGAGATGACTCGCAATGTCAAGCACCGCCCCTCGGCCACCGCAGCCGCCCCCCCATTCCAACGAACGCCGAAGTCGATGTCCTGCCAGAGCTCAGCGAATCGGCCTCAGCGCACTTTCGTTTGGACGCCTGCGCCTGACCCCATACCTCGGAGAGCCGCGCGATGCTGCATGCCTCAAACAACCAGGTGATCATGCCGCCCCCCGCCCTGTGGCGTGCGATCCCCGCGCCCCAGTCGGCATGGCATGGTATGCTGCAGGCCGTTGCGCGCCAGACTCTCCCCAAGTATCTGGTTATTTTGAAGTGCTTGATACCTCTGTTGCAAGCCACGGACGCCCTCCTGCTCATCTGCCTGTCGTCCTCGGACAGCCGATCGGGTGAAAAAGTGGGCGTCCCTCGCTCGAGGACGTCTGCCCTTCGAATGCCTTCAGGAAGGTCCACGTGTTTGGTGAAAAACGGAACGTGTTTGATGAACAACTGGACTGGGTAAAATCTCGTCCGCGAAATTGGGTCCTGCCAAATTCGGGAATTGGGGCTGACTGCCGCGATCGCCCGCAACGCACTGAGGATGCAGTTCTTTTCTGAATCGATCGGGAAGCCATCCACCACGACGGATTGGCGCCGAGTCTTGCCTGCCCATTCCGAGCCCCGACCGTAGGGATTGCCTGGATGATTACCTCTTCCTGAGTGAGCAGGCGTGCCGCCGATGTCGCCCGCTGCTGAGCTGGCCGAAGAAATCCTCCCCTCTCGAGCTGCGCGGTCCTCGACGTCACGTCGTGGACGGCCTTGTCCGTGCGATCGATCCTGGCGCTCATGGGGTCCATGCGGGTTCGCACCATATCAACTTTCAGGTCCACGACTGTTTGCTTATTGGATACATGTCCGTGTCGCTGTCTCCGATGCGAGGCGATGTGTGCCGAAGTGCCCTCCCGAGACCACCACCGACGTGGGCGCCTGTCAGAGAGCCTGGCGCGCCAGGAAACAACAGCCTGGAAATGAATATGGGGGTAAGGATTGAACTGGAGACATCGCGGAATGAAACTGAAGAAACTGATCGTACTGAGAAAGCGACGGATCGCATACAGTACGGGTCAATGCACAAGAAACTCACCGCTAGAAACCCAACCCTGAAATCCGCCGAGGTGTCTGGGTCCAGGGTTGGGTTTCTTGCATTCCGGCTGCAAATGAACAAACCCAGGGCACCCTGGCCGGAACGGTTTCTTGACTGATGGCGCCAAGCAGTTTCACATTAATAAACCCAAGGCGTGCGAAAATGCTAGCTGCGGGCCGTGCGCAAACAGAAAGGCCACGACATCTCCTCGGGTGAAAAAAAGAAACTTTGCGCCAATGTAACCCAGACCAAGGTGGCGAAGAAGCCCAGGTACACCGAATGCCCGGAAATTTCTTGGAGGTTCGGGCGCGCGCCCCGAAACTGACTGACCTCAAGAAACCCACGGTGCCCGGGCATTTTCAGTTTCTTTGAGATTGCGGCGACCTTCCGCGCCGAAAGCCAGCCAAAGAAACCCAAGGAACCCTGACGAAGCGTAGGGTGTTATTTGTTATGCCCCCCCCACCACTGTATGGTGGAAAGGGAACCAACTGTGATTGAGCCAAATTTGACGACGATGCTAATGATAATGATTATGATGTTTATGACGGCGTTGCTGATGATATGAGGGGCGATGACGATAACGTTTATGACGATGCCGATGATGGCGATGGTAGCGGTGATGATAAGCATGCTTCAGACAATGAAGACGATGATGACGAAGATGAGGGTGATGGGCATGATGGTATTGATGTTAACGTTGATGATGGTGATGATGACGACAACGACGGCAACAATGACGATGACCAGGACGATGATAGTAATGCCAAATTTAATGGTGATGACGATGATGACGACAACGATGACGATGACGATGACGATACCGATGCCGATGATGATGCTGATGATTATGATGTTGATGATGGTGGTGACAATGACGACATCGATGACGATGCCGATGACCATGCCGATGATCATACTGATGATGATGATACGGACGATGATGAGGAAGATGGTGGCGATCGAAACCATGGAACGCCAATTGACGAGGTCGGTGCGACCTTCCCTGCCTCTCCGATGGGTGGCCAGCTCAAACTGCTGCGCCCACAAGCACAGCGCGAGGGCGCTGACTGGGTTGTGGAACCAGGGCTTCAGCAGCTCGAGGAAGAGCGGCGAGGCCTGCTCCTCCTAGTGCCTCCTCCTCGGCCCTCCTCCTTCTCCTGCTTCTCACCCTTCTTCACCTCCTCTCCCCACGATCCTTTCCCTCGTCCTCCACCTCCTCTGCCCTCCTCCCTCCTCCACCTCTTCTTCCACCCACCCGTCTCTCCCTCCTCCTCCCCCCCTCTCTCTTCTTCTCATCCTCCTCATCTCCCCTCCCTCACCTCCACCTCATCCTGATCATGCTCATCCTCATTGTCGTCCTCAGTCTCAACCTCATCCTCATCCTCACCCTCATATCGTCATCGTCATCGTCATCAGCATCGGCGTCGTAATCACCACCATCATCCTGAGCATCATCATCGTAATCGTCATCATCATCAGCCGCATCGTCATGAGCATCACCATCCGCATCAGCATCGTCATCACTGGCACCATTAGCATCATCACCATCGTAATCGTCAACACCATCATCACCATCATCACCATCATGATCATCATCACTATCATCAATTTCATGATCACCCGCCTAACCACCACCATCACCACCACCATCGCTAACGTCATCAAAATCATAAGCACCATCATCATCAACGTCGTCGTCGTCATCGGCATCTGCATCGTCATCATCATCATCATCATCCTCATTACTATCATCATGCTCAATATCATCACAATCGTCGTCATCATCAGCGCCATCATCTCGTCATCACTGTCACCAATATCATCATCGTCATCGTCGTCAATACCGTTATCACCAGCATCATCATAGCCATCATCATCCTTTTCATCATCACCCACACCACCACCATCAACATCATCACCATCTCGATCACCATCATTCTCAGCATCATAATTATTGCTATCATCATAGTCGGCGTCATCGTCATAGCGTCATCGCCATTATGCTTCTCATCGTATTCATCTCAACCTATCCTCTGGGTCACGAAACAGGGTCGAAGAGTCGTGACCTGGGTTCGAACTGCATCCTGTACCGAACGTCGAGTTCCACGCATCTGATTTGACCTCGTATATCCGTCGGGGATCGATGAAACGCAAGACGCCGCAAGGAACGCGTATCCGTCTCAGAAGCTTGCCCACAGAAGGGGAGGAAGAGAGGGAATTACAAAGAGAAACGACAAGCAAGAGGAGTAGCAGAGGGAGAGGGACCAAGAGCGACCAAGCAATACGCGTGTCCGTGGATCGGCATGGGAAGCTGGCTTGGGCAGAGAAGCCCTCGCGAGGACAAGCAAGGGAGAGAGATATTGGGTGGAGGTGGAGGAGGAGAAGGAGGGGGACGACACCATCATCATCATCATCATCATCATCATCATCATCATCATCATCATCATCATCAATGTCATCATCATCATCATCACCATCATCATCATCATAATCATCATCATCATAATCATCATCACCATCATCATCATCATCATCATTACCAGCAGTAACAGCATCATCATCACCATCATCATCACCATAATCATTGTCATCCGTCGAAAGCCATCATCGTCATCCGCGCAGAGGAGCTCAGCCTGTTGGCCGTCGCGACTCCCCGAGTCTCTTGCCAGCTCGTCTCGGAGGACCTTGGTTTCGGTCGCGGTCAACAGAATCCAGCTGAAGGTCTGCACGAGCTGCTGGGCGAATTGGATGTCGATCTCCTTATTCTTCCCATTCCCTACTCCTCTCTTCCTCATCTGACTGCTCCTCTTCTTCCTGCCCCTGCCCCTGACCATCCTTGTCTATTGCTCTGGCAACTGTCACGTAGAGCCTCCGGGGATCTAGATGTCCACATAACTGCCGGATCATGAGTCGACCTCGCGACTCGAGCATCTTTTTGTCAGAGGCGAACAGCTTGAGAAGCCTCTTGGCCACCACAGTGAAGGTGTCATCGCCTTCGCTGTCCTCTTTCTCGTCCTCCTTCTGGTCGCGCCCTTCCATGATCTGGGCCAGTACACGTAGGGCTGCCACCACAACCTCGTCATCGGGGAGCATCAAAGTGCCAAAAAGCGGTGAAAACAACCTGTGGAGCATGTCCCGCTGCAACATCTGTGCCGGATTCTGCGCCAACAGCATGCAAATCCACTGTAAGCAAGCAGTGCGCTGTGGCACAGACTGTGGTGATGCCTGCGTCTGCATGTGAGACAGAAGCCGGCACACCAGAGGCTCAACTTTCATCTCGTGTGCAAATCGGTGGGTCAACTCCAGCAATTCGTTATTGGTCTCGATGGCCATACGCTTGATCTCGTCCTCCGCGTCATCAATGCAGTGTAAGGTCCCAGCCAATAATTCGGGCAAAATGTTAACCCACGTTTCTGTGCACAACGCGTCGTTCTGGGTTTGAAATCGCACGTATTCGTGCAGCCAGCACAACGAGGTGAGTCGCTCGTAGGACTCATTGCTTTTGCAACACCCAACGACGATGACCGCCGTCTCCGAGATAATCTGCAGAGCCTTTTGCCGCTCGCTGGACGTCACGGCCCGTAGCAAGTCCGTCAGACACGCGTCGGCGTTGGCTCTGATATCACGGGACTGGTCCCCAAGCATTGTGAATACGCCCTTCAAGTACACTTGGAGGTGCACGACGACGTCCACTTCAGGCACTTTGAGCAAAAGCTGGGTCCAACACAAACACAGGTTCCGGATGAACGGGTTCTTGTATGGCATCCGCTCGGCAAGGAGATGGACAAACTCTTTGACCTGAAACATAGAGTGGTTGTTGGTCACGATATCTTTAATTAACCTGTCTAGCACCTGGACGCCGTTCTTGACGTCTGGATCTACATCCGCGAACAGCTTGCAGAGGCCCTCGAAGATGGCGTTGAAGTGCGCGAGCACGGCCTCCCGAGCAACCTTCGAGATGTTGTACAGGGCCTCGCAGGCATAGTACCGGACACGGTTGTCTTGGTCGTCGAACAGCTTCAGGACTGGGCCCACGAGCTGCTGGAGAAAATTTCCGATCTCGCTCTCTAGCCCAATCGCCACCGAGGCCAGGCCTATCAGGCCGGCCTTCTTGTTGCTGGCCTCCGTCCTGCGGTCCTGCGAGTTGTCGATGTACTCCCGCTGCAGGCAGTCGAGTATTCGCCTGACTTCGCGCCTCTCGCCAGCTGGTTGCAAGCGCTCCTTTGCCACGGCACTGCGCACCTTCTGCTCGATCTCGAGGGCAGCTTGCTTGCGATGGTCGTACTGCCTGTCGTTCAGCAGCCTCGCAATACTACCACCCAAGAAGGCCCTCCTCCCAACTCCTTTCCACACCACCCACCTCCGGTTCATGTATTGTTCATCCTCCGCACCCTCACTCCTCATCTGCCATCCCCTCGTCCTCAGCGAAAACTGCGTGCTTGAGATGCGTCATGATATTAGGATCTAAGCGACACCATGAGGAATAATGGCACGAGCGGAATGACAGGTTCCCACTGGATTCGATGTGCCAGGATATGACAATTTCGAAGACTGCTACGCGAGATACGTTCGGCGCACCTGCCTGCCATGCTTTCCTTTCACGCTCCCTTGCAGTGTGAGTGGGGAGTTCTGAGTACCGCAATCTGTCTGAGATGCTCGGTACGGCGATACCACCGTAGATCCCCCGGCGCACTGAGGTAGCTGACAGGCGCTGAGGAATTGCTGCTCTCCTGGTGCCCCAGACTGGGCTGAAGAAAAGCAGATGTTCGCGCATCGAAGAGGCCGAGGTCATGAGACCCGTCTATAACAGTTGACCGACCACGACCACGAGCGCGACCACAACAACGACCACGACAACGACCGCGACGACCACGACGACGACGACGACATGAAGGACGACGACGACGAGGACGAACACGACGATAAGGACTACCAGGACGAGAACGGGGACAACGAGGACGCTGACGACGTCGAAGACGACGAGGTCGACGAGAACGACGGCGACGACCTCCGGACCTCTGCACCAGGCTGCACCCGCGGGGGAAGGGGGGTCGCATCGCAGCACCAAACCACACCCACAGGGGGGGGGACCATCGGAGGGGGGTGGGTGGGTCCCATTGGCATACGGGGAGGGGCGGGGGAGCCTTGACCTGGATCATACGTGGCAGCTGCATCACCTGATGGGGGCGTGGGCGGTGGCGCGCCGAAGAATGGGACGACCGCTGGTCATCATATACTTTGAGTCGGCTGCGCGGCGGCGTCCTTAGATGCGCAACAGATGATGACCAGACTTGCGTCGCCATGAAGCTACTATCTCTGCCCCCCTCTCCTCCTCGTCACGCTTCTCCTCCCCGCCATGCTCGCCCTTTCGATTATCATCCTCCCCCCTCCTCCGCATCCTCCTCTCGCGCCTCACAATATTGTCCCCCAACACGTTCTCTTTGCTATCGGCCATGACTCCTCAGGCAAATGCGTAAGTCACCTGAGCCCCGATGGCTGCGGAGGAGACGCGCTGAGTATAATCGTCGTCCTCCCTGGCCTTCTGCTGCATGACCTCCCCTCGTCCCGGATGCTCTTCCTCCGACCCGTCCTCATCTTCCTCCTCCTCCTCCTCCTCCTCCTCCTCCACCTCCTCCACCTCATTCTCCCCTCTCTAATCGGAATCCTCGCTGCCCTGGTGCTTCTCCTCCTCCATCGAAATCTCCCCCCCCTCCTCCTCCTTCTAATCAGATTCCTCGCTACCTTGCTTCCAGCGCCCTTGCTGAACTGCACTGCGCGTCCGTACGAGGTCCTCGCTAAGGCATATCTCCCCCGTGCAAGAGTATCAAGGTCCTCTTCTGAAGCCAGGTGAAGAAGGATACATGCTTGGGACCATCTTGGGAACATGCTCGGTCTTCGACAGTATCATCAGCGAGCACTTGTCAGGCCTTGTCGACAATGCGGCCGAAGCCGACGGCAGACCAAAACGTAGTGTGGACAGGATGGCTTCGAAAGTTGCATGTATCGCCCAAAGGGGAATGCGTATTCCAACATGCACGCAGCATGCCACATAGCGTCATCATCCTGCCAATATGTTCCTCATACATATCCTTCATCTAACCCTCTTGTTAAATGTCATACTCCTACTCCTTCTCTTTCTCGTCCGTCTCCTGGTTGTTCTCGCTGTCCTTCTCCTCCGCCTCCTCGTCTCCCTTCTCTTCCATCTGCCCTTCCTTCCCCTCCTCCTGAACCTACTCCTCATTCCTCTCCTCGCAGCATTCTCTTCATCGATACTTCCCTCGATGCCCTCATCCTCCTGCAGCTCCTTCTCCTCCTCCTGCTCCTCCTCCTCCTCCTCGCCGCTCTTCCTCGTTGCGTGCGTGCCGCAATTTGAAGCTGATCCCAAACATATCAATGGATCTCTATCTCGTCGGCTACCAACGTTTCTGTTCTAGTTCCCGTTTGTACCGTGAACTGCACGCTGCCCCCCCTCCTCCTGCGTCCCTGCGTTACAACCAGCTACCATATATCATTGCCTCTCTCTCTCACTCTCCCTCTTTCTCTCTCGTTGCAGATGTTTCCCTGTCGTTTCATTCTCTCTCTGTCTCTCTCGTTTTCGCTCTCTCCTTTTCTCACTCTCTCTCTCTCTATCCCTCCCCCGCTTTCGGCAGAAGACGATGGATGATACTGAACACGACGAGGGGGAGTAATCCTCCTCTTCCTCGTCATCGATGACCACAATCATCATACATCCTCTTGCTCCTCCTCAGCAGATCCTCATCATCATCACCGTCGTCATCAGCATCATCATCATCATCATCCTCATCGACATCGCCATCGTCATCGTGATCGCCATCGAAATCGCCATCACCACCACCACCATCATCATCATCATCATCATCATCATCAGCATCATCATCATCATTCAGGTCACCACCACCCTTCATCATCGTCACCATCGTCGTCAACATGATCATGATCATCGCCATCATCACCAACAACAAACACATCACCACCATCATCGCCATCAACACTACCACTTTGACAATCACCATCGACATCACTATTGCCGCCACATTCATTCTCACTATCACCACCGTCGTCACCATCAACATCACTGTCACCACCATCATCACCACCACCACCATCATCGTCCAACTACAAGAGGCCGTTGACCTGAAACGAAGCCGCTCTTCCAACTAAGCCCATGAAATCTGAAAGAACGGCCGGGCCGAACATCTTCTCTTAACGGCGTGCCGCCACGAGTTGCCTTCGCGATTAGAGCCCTACCCCCTCTGCAGACATACACAGGAACGCCCGCCCCCCTCCCCCGCCGCTCCAAAATCAAACGCAGAAGCGCAGCCCGCGAACAACGCGTGATGAACGCCTGGTTTGCCCCGGCAAGACGCCGTCCCCAGACGCGCGCGCTTGGCGACGCCATCCGGCCCGACGGTTAAAAACAGAGAGGACCGGCAAGGGCCTTCGCGCTGCAACGTGCAAAGGGCCCTGCGCAAGCCGACGACGCCAATCCACCCCCCGGCTTCCACTTCACAAGGGACGCCAGCTGGCCATCGCTCGGGCGTCCATTCAGTGTTTCCCAACCATCCTGTGGTGCTGGGTCCTCGTTTTGAAGAGACGGTGCCCCGCGTCTCCTCCCGCTGCCCCCTCCTCCTCCCCCTTCTCCCTCCTCCCTGCGATTCACCCACCCAGTACAGCGCTTCGTGGCCCCATAGGGAGCTCCACCGAAAACCCCAGTGGCAGGGTTCGCATGGCGGCCCCGCGTTTTGGGGCACCCTCACACGGTTCGTAGCCCCATCGGAAGCTCCACCGAAAGGCCCCGGTGGCAGGGTTCGCATGGCGGCCCCGCACCATTTTGGCGCACCCCTCACACGGTTCGTGGCCCCATAAGGGGGTTCCACCGAACGCCCCAGTGGCAGGGTTCGCATGGCGGCCCCGCGCCATTTTGGCGCACCCCTCACGGCTCGTGGCCCCATAAGGAGCTCCACCGAAGGCCCCAGTGGCAGGGTTCGCATGGCGGCCCCGCGCCAGTTTGGTGCACCCCTCACACGGTTCGTGGCCCCATAGGGAGCTCCACCGAAGGCCCCAGTGGCAGGGTTCGCACGGCGGCCCCGCGCCAGTTTGGCGCACCCCTCGCACGGTTCTTGGCCCAATAGGGGACTCCACCGAAGGCCCCACAAGCAGGGTTCACATGGCGGCCCCGCGCCAGTTTGGTGCACCCCTCACACGGTTCGTGGCCCCATAGGGAGCTCCACCGAAGGCCCCCGTGGCAGGGTTCGCATGGCGGCCCCGCGCCATTTTGGCGCACCCCTCACACGGTTCGTGGCTCCATAGGGAGCTCCACCGAACGCCCCAGTGGCAGGGTTCGCATGGCGGCCCCGCGCCATTTTGGCGCACCCCTCGCACGGTTTTTGGCCCCATAAGGGGGCTCCACCGAAGGCCCCAGAAGCAGGGTTCGCATGGCGGCCCCGCGCCAGTTTGGTGCACCCCTCACACGGTTCGTGGCCCCATAAGGAGTTCCACCGAAGGCCCCAGTGGCAAGGTTCGCATGGCGGCCCCGCGCCATTTTGGGGCACCCCTCACACGGTTCGTGGCCCCATAGGGAGTTCCACCGAAGGCCCCAGTGGCAGGGTTCGCACGGCGGCCCCGCGCCAGTTTGGTGCACCCCTCACACGGTTCGTGGCCCCATAAGGAGCTCCACCGAAGGCCCCAGTGGCAGGGTTCGCATGGCGGCCCCGCACCATTTTGGAGCACCCCCCACGCGGTTCGTGGCCCCATAGGGAGCTCCACCGAAGGCCCCAGTGGCAGGGTTCGCATGGCGGCCCCGCGCCATTTTGGTGCACCCCTCACACGGTTCGTGGTCCCATGAGGAATTCCCCTTGCTTTTCCCACCTGCCCTGCGGTTTTCACACTTGCGTATGGCCGGGTCCTTCGCCTGGATAATTTTGTCGATTCCGTGCGTGTTTTTTTCGGCAAATGATCAAGGATGTTCCTCGATGGTCCTCGCCGAAGGAAAAATGCACACGTCCGAGCGATGCCAAGCCAAGGGGTCGGGCGGGCGGGGAACCGTGGTTTCGACGCGCCCACTTTCCGTGTCGGCGACACGCGCGATCCCCACGTGGCACCGCGCCAGGGAGCCGAAGGGCTCGCGCAGGGGACTGGGCCTGCACGCGCCCACTTCCCGTGTCGGTGACGCCATGTGGGCCCCGACTCGCACCGCGCAGGGAACCGAGGGGCCCGCGCGGGGGACTGGGCCTTCACGTGGCCACTTTCCTGTGCGGCCACGCTACAGGCAACATCCGTTGCACGCTACAGGCAGCATCGAATCCCACAAGGGAGGAGCGTGCGATGCCAGTTCCGCACGACAGCTGCGCTGTGTGTCGAACGCGGCGCGAGGAACCGAGCCCCATCCTGGAACCCCGCTCCTGAGACCGTCCGCCCTGATCGACACAACGAATCCGCAGGCGCAACATCTGAAGGAACGCCAGGGGGGGCTCGCCACCCAAAGAGGAACGGAACGCATAGAACGAGAGGAGGAGGAGGAGGAGGAGGAGGTGGAGAAGCAAGAACAGGAGGAGAAAGAGGAGGAGAAGGAGGAGAAGGAGGAGGAGGAGGAGAAGGAGAAGGAGGAGGAGGAGGAAGAGGAGGAGAAGCAGCAGGAGGAGGAGGAGGAGGAGGAGGAGGACCCTGTCGAAACGCAGGCGGGCCTCATGAAACGCCCCGACTGTACTGGGCGCTCCGGTCGGCGGCGGCGCGGCGGGCTCGAGCCGACGGGCACCGCGGCCACGGTGCGCGAGCCGCCCGGCAGCGGGGATGCGCCGACGTGGACGGCGCCAGACCCAGGAACCGCAGGAAACTCAGGAGGAGGAGGAAGGAGGAGGAGGAGGAGGAGGAGGAGGAGGAGGAGGAGGAGGAGGAGGAGGAGAAGAAGGAGGAGGAGAAGGAGGAGGAGGAGGAAGGAGGAGGAGGGAGGAGGAGGAGGAGGAAGGAGGAGGATGAGAAGGAGGGGAAGAGCAAGCGACTTAGGGACGACGGCGACAATTCATCCAAGCAGCTGAACCCACGGGCCTCCTCGCCGACCCGACTGCTTCAGCCGCGCAGAGGCGTGCCGTGGAGCCGCAGAGCACAAATCATGAGAAGGCTGAAAAGGAATATCAATGATTACCAGCCTGGAACAGATCCCTATCCCTATGCTGGGAACCTCCTCATCACGATGCCAATCTTAGGGATTCCCTTATCTTTTGAGGGCGAATCCCTAAGATTGTCAGCGCCTTTTGGCGTGTCAATCTGAGGGATAGAGATACGTTCGAGGCTGGTAGAATGAAGACGGCGCTAGTGCCTAGTTCGGGGGCCTCGGAAGAGCTCCGCGGGAAAACGGAGGCACGGCCGATGCCAGCAGGCAGGGGAACACGGGGAGAGGTCCAACAGACAAACGAAACAGTATCACACTGTGTGATA